ATTCGCACCCTCCAGGGGCCCGGGGCCCTGCTCGTCCTGACCGAGTCTGGCGAGGCCCAGTGTCTTGCTCCGACTCTCAGCTTCCTAAGGAGAAGGATACTAAATCCTTTGCTAGTGGTTGTCCCGCTCAAACAGTGGAAGCGGCGCTGGCTGAGTTTCTCCGTCCGTACCCATCACGCAGCACAAAACTTAGGCCTGCGCTGAAGGAGCTGCGCGGTTTCCCGGGAAGGCCAGGCAGGAGGGAAGCAACTGTCCGCAGTTGTGTCCGGTGGAGCCGGGCCAGCCGGTTCTCCCCACGGACGGCTAAGCGAGGCCTCCCTCCGCCTGCTCCTCTCTGACTTCGTGGCGATCATCCTTCGTCCCACAACAAGGAAAACGTGGCTGCATCTCTGCCCCACAGAATCGGTTTTGGATTTCTGCAAAACATAAGTCATTTCCTCCGTGTCCAAATTCAGCTAAAGGAGGAATATTTGCAGCTGCCACTCAAATAAGGGGTTCTTAGAGTTTAAAAAATCCTGGTGTCCGAGTTTTCAGGATCCTTTCCTGCTTTCGATGGTGCTTCAAGGTTCGATATCCCCGAGTGCCCAGTGAGCTCACCACGGCCCAAATCGCGAGGCGGGTGGAGGGCGTCAGAGATGACCGGACCCCACCGGCTTGGGGACCTCGTGTGTGTGAGCTCTGCTCAGAGAACCGAAACCAGGAGAACCAAGGACAGAAAAACACAAGTTGAGACTGGGGGGGGGTCACCTGGGAAGGGCACAGTGAGCTCCGCATCCGTGGAAACTGAAGCCCCTCAGTGCCCCACCATGCGTGGCAGTGCCCCCGATACCCCCACAGGAGGCCGAGGCAGTCAGAGGCCCTGCACTCCTCGCCGCGGGCCCCGGCCGCTTCTGGCCATCAGCCTGCCCCAGGCCTCCCTCACATCCCTGTTCCTCAGACTGTAGATGAGTGGGTTCGTGACGGGGGTGAGGATGGTGTAGAAGGCGGAGGATATCTTGTCTTGCAGAGGCGTGTGGTAGGACTGGGGGAGCATGTAGGTGTACAGGGCGGCCCCGTAGAACAGCGTCACCACCGCCATGTGAGACGAGCATGTGGCCAAGGCCTTCCTCTTCCCCTCGGCAGACTTCACGCGAAGCACAGTGAGCAGGATGCGGGCGTAGGACGCGGTCACCACGGAGAAGGGCGCCAGCAGCATCAGCACGCAGCACGCGTACATCACCGTCTCATAGGTGGCCTTGTTGCCGCAGGCCAGCCTCAGCATGGTGGGCGCCTCGCAGAAGAAGTGGTCGATGGTGTGCGAGGCGCAGAAGGGCAGGCTCATGGTGAGGGGCGTGAGCAGGAAACTGTCCAAGGCGCCTCCAAACCATGAGCTGGCCACGATCAGCCAGCAGACCCTGCGGCTCATGAGCACTGGGTAGCGCAGCGGCCGGCAGATGGCCACATAGCGGTCGTAGGCCATGAGCCCCAGCAGGAAGAACTCGGCCCCCACGAAGCCCATGTAGAGGAAGTACTGGGCTGTGCAGCCCGAGAAGGAGATGGTGCCCCTGCCCAGCAGGTAGTCCACCAAGATCTTGGGCACGATGGTGGAGATATACATCACGTCAATGAGGGAGAGGTGGCTGAGCAGAAAGTACATGGGAGTGTGCAGCAGCGGGTCCCTGTGGATCAGGAAGATCATGGTCCCGTTAGCCACCAGGGCGGTCAGGAAGATGGCGCCAAGGACCGCGAACAGGAATGCTGAGGCTTTCCTGTGAGCGAAGAGCCCCGCCAGGGTAAAGTCACTGGAGAGCGTCTCGTTTCCGCACATGGTGCCTGCTTGAGCTGAGGGAAGAGGAGAGGAGAGAAACGGGAGTCAGCAGGGGCCACAGAAGATAAAGTGGTCGTGCAAAAATGCCCGCTCTTTCTGGTCGGTCATGAAATGAGAAGTTTTAATACAATTAACAGCAAGGCCTTTATCATGAAGTGATTTTGCAACTTCTCCTCATTGAAGAGCGCTCACAAAGTTAGGGTCCCATGGCCTGGAGAGAGTGGATGATGGGCAGGTGATGCTGTAAAAAAGTTTAAATATTACAGAGCGAGGGGGCTCCCACAGGACGTCGTCCCTTGGCCTGGGCCCCGTTTACTTCAAGAGAGGACACAACTGTGGGACCATCGATTTTACGTCATTTGCGTAGCCTAGTCATTCAGTGAGACACTTGGTCAATTGGGGATTCTCCTCATGGTTTTAAAACCTGACACTTCTCATGGAGAAGCAACCGTTCAGTTGCAGGTGCAGCTTCGAATTACAGTGACGCCCCCGTCCACCTGACTGCTGGCCAGTCTCTCTCCCTCACCCACCTGTCCACTCTCCATTCGCTCTACTCTGTGTTTCTCGCAGAGGCACCCTGTGGCTTCCAGCCCCCATGACGACGCTGTAAACGGCGGCCCAGAGTAGGGCTCCTGTGTCTTACTTTCTTATCCTGGGCAAAGCAGAGCTGGCAGGCAAAGCAGACCCAGCTTCTGGGCAGTGAGGGGCAGCATTGAGGGCAGCCTCATCCCAGACAGAGGTGCAGGATGCAGAACAGCTCAGAAAAGCAAGCTTCAGCTCAAAACTGAAATTCACTGCAGGCTCCTACTGATCTCAAAATCATCACGTTTGTACATTGGAGCCAGTGTTTTTTTTTGTGATCCCATGTTTTTGTGGGCTTTAAGGTTTTTAAGAGTAAAACACACATCCACTTTGGGCAGGGCAGTCTAGGCTGTGCTTCTCCCCAGTGTCCCTTCTCCTTAACTTTGTCCTCACCTCTTCCACACAACAGGTCCCCAACTTGATCTGTGAGTCATAACTTCCGGAGGTGACAGCAGAAGACGTTTTAAGGACTCTGTGGGCCAGAGGGCGCGGGAAGCTCCAGGCACAGAGGGGGGACAGGCATCCATGCTGTGTGCACGTCTGCAGTGCATGGTGAAAGCAAGGAGATCCTTTTATATTATCCCTTGCCCTGGGTGGAGATAATTTGGATAGGACCTCAAAAGCACAGCAGCAAAAGACTTGTAGACCAATAGGATCACGTTGAATCTAAAATAGCACGCGGCTGTATGTCAGAGGTAGTCTGTGCCTCCTCTGCCCTGGCTTTGCCCTCCAGCCCAATACAGAAACAAAACTAATTTTCCTCAGAGTAAAGAAACACATGATGGAGAAGAGGTAATGTACAGAGTCGGGAAATCAGTTGCAAACTTACATGACTGGAAAATAATATCCAGAATCTATAAGGAACTCAAAGAAAAAAACAAACTGAAGACCAGCAAGACCTAAAGCATTCAAATATTCCAGGTGTAAGGACAAAAGACCTGGAAAACATTTCTTGGTGGACTTTACATGACGGCCAACAGCTAAATAAGAACATGCTGGGCCTCACTAGTCATGAGATAAATCCTAATCCCAGGCAGTGCCTCCTCATCCCGGTTACGAGGGCCATCAGCACTGAGACACAAGCAGATCTGCTCAGCAGGTAGAGGAACGGGCTGCTGAGACCAGCTGTAAGTTGTAAATTACAGTAGCCACTGGGAGTTACTGGGAAAATCCCTCAAAATTAACACATGGGAGCCAGGCACAGTGGGGTCTTCTGTCATTTCAGCTACTATTGACGGTGAGGCAGGAAGCTCACTAGGTACAAGCCAGCCAAGGACATTTGGCGACATCCTGCCTCAAAAGACAATAAAAGGGCCTGGGATGTAGTGCAATGCAGAACACCTGCCTAGCAAGTCGGAGGCCCTGGGTTCACTTTCTAGTATCACACACACACACACACATGCACACACGCAAATTGAAAATGAAAGTACTGTGTGATTCAGTAACCCTTATACCAGGTATGTGTCCAAAAAGATCAGTGTTTGAAAAGATGTCTCCTCGCTGATATTTCCTGCAGTCTATTCATGACAGTCAGGGCAGGAAGCAATCCAGCTTAAGGAACATGAATGAATGGATAGGGACGATGTGTAAGTAGACACAGTGGAAACTATTCAGACATGAAGCTAATACATTGTCATAGTTCGTTACAATGGAGATAACCCTGTAGCACACTATTTAAATGAAATAACCAGGCACAAATGGCCAAATAAATACCATATGACCTCTGTCCAATGAAAACATTTATCTGGTACAAGTAAAGAATAGAATAGTTTTCTGAGGCTGGAAGGATAGGAAGAGGGGGACTTGAGGGCACTGTCAACCTAGTCTTCTACTACACAGTAGCAAACTGTAGATTAAATAGCATATTGCATTTTTCAAAGGAGCTGGAAGTGAAAGGATCAATGTTCTCATCACAAAGAAATGATAAATGTTTGAGAGAATGACATGGCTGTCATACACAATAGATAGAGTTATGAAACTTTTACTCCACACCCAATCAACACATATAATTGTGTCAATTAAAAATAAGGGGAAATAATACATGTATTTGAGTTTCAGTAATGTATGAATCATAAAAAAGGTATTCTGAGATACAGCGATGAAATAATAAGTTATATCTTAGTATTCGTGTAAAAACACAATTTCTAATTTAATTTTTGGGATAAAATCAAGGAAGAAACTATGAATTATTCCCTCTAGTGAACACTTTAAATATATGTTTAAAAATGTATAATTGGCAAAATAGCATAGAATTCAAACTGATTTTGAAAGGCCACTATGTGTACTGTGTATGTACACACACACACACACACACACACACACACACACAGAGGTATATCAAATTCTAAAGGTGGACGCTAGTATTCCACACCAAAGCAGAACCCACTGATGTGGAGTGGAACATGAGTTAGCCATAAAGAACACAATCATGTCATTTGCAAGAAAATAAAGAGAACTGGAAATCATTGTGTTAAGCAAAAATGAGCCAGACTCAGGAAGTCCGATATCTCAGGTATCTTCTCACGTGTGCAATCTAAAAGAAATCAGAAAAGAGATGGCATGAAAGCAGAAAGGAGTCCATTAGAGAAGAGGAAGGGTCTGGGGAGGGGCCTATTGCTCCCCACAATTAACCTGCAGGACTGATATATCTGGGCAGATCTACCCCGCTTTTCCCTTTCTCCCTGCCTAGGTGCTCTGGGAGCCAGGTGTGTCCTGCAGGGTCCAGAGATGAGTGAGCAGCCTTCTCCTCCAGCGCAGCACAGGGCTGAGGTCTGCTCACGGGCTGTCGGTCAGCCCCAGTGCATAGCCAGGAGAAGGCTGCCTTTGGGGTCTCTCTCCAGGGTCACGTGGACTAGCGTGTGCTCCGTGCCCACCTTAATAAGACAACCTTTCAACCCATGTTAGAAGCAGGAAGGAGCTGACACTGAAATTGATTCAAGCTGTGTTCATGGTAAAGAGAGTTGGGAAGAAATGATACAAAACATCAGTAAAGAAATGATGCAAGCACAGGGGAACAGCAAGATATTTACAGTAGAAGATGTCATTTCCACTTTATGTTAATGTAGTTGGAAATCATTTTCATGTACGTATATGCATTGAAGTGATATATTTGCACACACATGCATGTGTGTGTTATGTATGAGTCCGCATATTGTGCATATAGACGTGCAGGTAAGGTGAAGGTTATAAATACATGAAAACACATATACAAATTGCTAAGAAAACACTAAATAACCCTTCTAAATTTGGAAAAACTGGACAATTTTAAGAAGACAACGCTTCCTGAAAATCTCTGCTTCAGAAGCATTTTCTAAAAAGATTTTTGAAGTTGAAAATTCAAAATTTTTGCAGTACTTAGAGAGATGTGGAATTCATTCTCATTTATTTTATAAGCCCGTGTAGCCACCAAAACACCATAACCTCCTATGCCTCCAAAGCAGTGCCACTTACAAAGGTGCGTACAAACATTTCCTGAAAGACTGTCGGCAGAACCTCGCCTTGGTAGCTCCACATCTGAACTAGGTCCTGCTCGGAGAAGCCCCCTCTTCCCTTTCACCGCCCTGGAGGCGCTGCAGTCTGCAGCGCTGAGGAGAAGCCCTGCGTGTGCTCACCCAGCCGCCCAGCCCCGCACTCCTCCGGCTCAGAGCTGTCTGTCTCCCCTGCAGCGCCGCCCCTCCTCTCCTGCCTGAGGCGGCGGTTCGAGCTCACCTGCATCTCCCACCCCGTCTCAACAAAGATTCACTTAGAATCCAGGAGGGCATCACCCGGGTCCTGCTGTGTAATAGCAACTAAGGCGAGGAAACAGCTGACACTTCACTCAGTCTGGAGAAAGCGCAAAAAACTGAAAAGTGCACTTCATCAAATACCAACGGGAACTGTCCTGAAAGCGTCACGTCAATGAGGCCCTGGGGGGTCTGACCTCTGGCTGCAGGCTCGAGGGAGCGCGAGCGACAGGGGACAACTGGACAGAAGCCTGCAGGGTAAAACACACCCCGAACCCACACAAAGGACGGCAACAGGCACATGCGGGTGTACACGTGGGTAAGCGAGAATTCCTGTGTATAAAGATGGGAAAATCGCAGCATATATGTCTTAACCCACAATCATTAGGCAAAGGGCTCAAAGGCTTAAGTACGAGAAATAAATACAATTTTTATGAACACTCGGCATCGTCCTTTCCCTGGGAGAGAATGGGGTCCAGGTGAGAAGGCCTGCAGCTGGAGGACACTCACCTGCCGTCCATCCTGAGGGCACGCAGCAGCAGGGTGCCCAGGGGAGGCCTAGGTGACCTCTGTGGTGGGCATCCCGGCTGTCCGAGCTCTGAGGGACTGGCCGGGGAGGCACTGCAACTGCACCCCCAGGCAGCTGTCAGGAAGCGTGGCTCAGCTGCCTTCTGCGCAGCTCAGTTAATAGCTCGA